AAGAGGCCCTGAGCTGCACAGGGAAGTTCTCCCCAAGCATGAGAAGACATGAGGATTTAAAAGGAAGAGCAGCAAAGAGAAGGGAAACAACCATGGATTACAGTAAGGCACACATTACAGTATTGTTTTATGTTAAAAAATCTGAGGGTTTAATGTCACTTTAATATGCGTTGAAACTTAGTATTTTACATATACTGTACTTCTACTTTTAGTAAACGTTTAATACTTTCATTGTATGTGACTTCACACAAGAGCCCTACAGCAGGGGCGTCCCGAGGCTGGGTGACACCCGCAGCGGTTACAGAGTGTCACCCCGAGACAAGACGCCTCCGCGCATGCGCGTGACATCATCGCGCACGCACGGCGATCTTCTGATGCCTGCCGGCGGCCATCTTGGTGATGGACGTCGGCAGAGAGAGGAGGGGACAGCCACCCGGCGGGATAAGGTATGCCACCGGGTCCCCTCCTCTCTCCTGATACTGTTGGGCGTTCGGTCCATGACCGAGCGACCCGTCTTTTAAGAGGGGGGGTGACACCAAAATGACTGTCAGTCATTTTGGTGTCACCCCTCCAATGGTGACACCCAGGTGCGGGCCGCACCCCCCTTGTGACGCCACTGCCCTACAGCTGTAATAAAAGACATGTAGGAGAATTTATCAAAACTGGAGCAGCTGTGCATGACAACCAATCAGCATCTCTGTTTCATTTTCAAATCTTAAGTGAACAAACTGAAGAGAGAAGCTGATTGGTTGCCATGTACAGCTGCTTCAGTTTTGATCAATTCCCCCATGGTGCATTTGCTCTGACAAGAGATAAATGTCTATGACGTCAGGTGTACAGATCATATACAGGTCTGGCCAATCACAAGCCAAGCTGCCCTTCAATCTGTACCCCTAAAGTCACACTCCTTACCTGTACAGATGCAGTGCTGGAGGAAGGTACCACCATGTGCTCTTGTGTTGTATTGTAACTACAGTCAGTCTTTATGTTGTGAAGTGCTGCCCAAACTGTTGATGCTATACAAATGTATGTATAATCATAATACAATCCAGGCAGTAACCCGCTGATGTTACTAAGTATCCTACTGTAGGGTTTACCTATGTGTAATCCTGAGCCCTGTTAAAACAACTGCAAGTCTAGATGACGTAAACAATACTGGATACAGTACAACGAAAAAGCTGCTACCTTTGGGGTATGCGGGTTGAGTTCATACCACTTTATGCACCTTGAATGCTGTGTGGTTTAAGGTGCCCATACACTGTACGGTTATCGTACGAGAATTGCGGGAAATCCGGCGATCGTATGATAATCGCAAAGTGTATGGAAGGCGTCCGACCGTTTCCACTGTATGATCGCACGTCTTCCGTCGAACAAGCAGGCTGGAAAACCCGCCGAGAATCCTACGATTCTCGGTAGGTTAGTGGTGTGCTTGTTCGACAACTCCCGAACGGGCCGGTGTGCGCACGCGCACACTGCCCGTTCAGCATTGCATTCATCGGAAGCTCGCCCCTCAGCGGGGTGGGCTTGCGATCACAAGTACGATCTGCCTGTCCAAGATGGGCAGATCGTACGTTTTTTTTTAATACTTTACAACCCTTGCAAGACAAAAGTCTTGCAAGGGTTGTACAGTGTATGGGCACCTTTAGTTGGGTGTGTACATGATAAGAACAATACACTGTGCCGTGAACATTTGCCCATATACAGTAGTTTACATACCTTCTAATGGCCCCCAAACACTTAGGTCAGTGGGGTACATTGCAAAGAGAGCATACAGGTTCACTAAGAATAAATACCCAATGCTTAGTTTCAGGTAGGGAGAGCATGTGATTCACTCCCCTTCCTCCCATGTTACATGCACCGCACAAATGCTTGGTAGCTAAGACACCCTCTGCTGTCACAAGGGGCACTAATGAGTGCATGGTGTGACAACGTTTGACGCACCTAAGGCTTAAAAAGCCCACAAAATACTTGTGGAGCACGTTTCCTGTTGGGGGACAAAATGCACTGTAATCTGCCAAAAAGAAGCTCATGTACTTTTTCCAGCGACATGCATTTTACAGCTTGCGACAAAACGCTCAGGTGTGAGCAGGGGCCATAGGAATGATTGGGATTTCTTGTTTGTGCATTTTTATTGTGCGTCTTTATCACCTAGGTGTGACAAATCACCTAGGTGTGAATGAGGCCTAAAGATCTCTGAAAGTCTGCTATGTTACGGTTACCATCAGTCACTGTTTCCCAGGGGCAGTCATGTCTTAGGGGGTCTGTCTGGCCCAAGTGGCATATTCAGGGTATGGCACATGCCCTGGGCACCACTTGAAGGAGGGTGCTTTGCTCCGTGGGTCAGCAAAGGTGTGGCCCCATACACTTCCACAGGGCCACAGCAGCGTGTTTTCTCATGTTAAGCTAGACCAGGGGTGCCAATTAGGTTGATCGCGATCTGCCAGTTGTTCGCTAAGCTAACGCTGGTAGATCGCTAGTCAGCTCCCTACCACTTGCTAGTGCGACACTGAAGATGGGAAGGGGTGATCTGCCCCTCCCCGCCTGCAACATCCGACACATTCGTCCTGCTCCTCCACTCCCGGAGCATCGGACACTTCGGCCCGGCCCTCCCCTCCCAAAGTTTTGGACACCTGGGCCCACCCCTCTCCTTCTAATAGACTTGTGCGCCGTCAAAAAATTTGTTCTGTTTCGTTTCGGAATATCCGTTATTTCGTAATTCGTAACTGAACTCAATTCGGATTCGTACGAAATACGAATTTTCGTTAGTGGCGGTTATATTTTCGTAACTTTACGAACATTCGTTATGATGAAGTTAAAAAGCAAAATACCTTTGTTAATATTGGAGTGGTAGTTGTTTTTTTATCCGAAATACGAATTCCGTTAACGGATTCCGTATTTCGAACTTTAAAAAAAACTACCATCAACTCCAATATAAATGTACTTTGCTTTTTACCTTCAATATAACGAATGTTCGTAATGGAACGAAAATACGTCAACGGAATTTCGTATTTCCTGCCTGTGTGTGTAACTGTGTATTGTAATGCAACTGCATCAACAGCAGCGGATCCGTATCTCGGATTAAAAAAAAATCTTGTCATGCTGTTCAACCTCATTTACAGGGGTAATATTAGTTCCTGTTTCAAAGAAATTCGGATCCGAAATTCGTTAACGGAATTTCGTATTTCGGATATAATTCAGAAACTGCTATTCGGATTTCGGATGCTCCGAAATTCGGAATTTCAGGAAAATTCGTACGAATTTCGATTCGTAACGAAACGAATCGCACATGTCTACCTTCTAAAGCGTCGGACACCTTGGCCCACCCTTCCCCTCCTGAAGTGTTGGGACACATTTAGGCCTCCGTCACAATCCCGCGCCTATTGTACCATATGCAGCATATGCAAATACATGGCTCCATACACATAGCTGCGTATGGAGCCGTATATTTGAGTAGCGTAAAAACAGAATGGAACCGAGATGTGTCTGGGCAGCGGTTTTCTGCGTATTTTACGTGCATATACGTGTTTGCGCGCATGTACAGTTCATGAAAATTTCTATTACGAATGATGCATTCTGGGATTGCATATAGTGCACGCATATACATGTGTATATAAACGCAATATAAAATTTTGCTCTTGCGTTGTGTGAATGAGGCCTTAGGCCGCAGCACACTAGAACACATATGGCCTGCCTGAAGACTGTCAGACACAGCAGCACTAGCATGTGTGAAGAGCCAGATGAGGAGATAGCAGAGAGTTACTACTAGTAAGTGGTAACTTACCAAACTTGGAAGGGAAGAGAGTGATATGGTTTGGGATCTGCACACAGAAAGCGGTGAGAGGCTGCAGGAGTTGCTCATAGGGAGAACAGGTGGGGTTGGGTTCGTTATTGAGGTGTAATGGACATGGCCTGTGTGTGCTGGAGGGTGAATCTCTCTGGCTATGCATGCTCTCCACAGATACATTCACCACTGTTGACAAAATCCCGCCCCAAACAAGAAACTGCAATCTAGCTTTAAATTATTAGGTTTATTCAATAAGAGGTACATGCAGTAGTCCCAGTAACCATTTTAATGTGTGTGATTTTAAAATACTGGTGTTTTTTCCGTTGCTAGATCTCCTTGAGCACATTTGAAAATTAGATCTTAACACAGAAAATTGTGGGGCACCCCTGAGTTACACAGTAGACTGTAACGCACCTTCAATGCGTTTTTTTTTTTGCAATGTACTGCAAAGCACAAAAAAGTAAAAGCTGGAGCCATCATTGGTGTCAGTGGACACAATAAAAGCCCCAGCACTGGTGTCAGTGACCACAATAATAACCACTAACATTGGTGTCAGGGCCCGTTCACACCAGTTGCAGTGCGCTCCGGCCCGATTCTGGCCAGAACGCACTGCCTCGCATTGCGGCCGGCTCAATTTTTTTTAGTGGAACGGGAGGGGGCGTGGCAGGCCATTTAAGTGAATGGCACCATAGCCACACCCTCCGGCCAAGCACCGATCAAAAAGCTGCAAGCACCCCAGCTCTGCATAGTCCACAGGTACCAAACAGGTGGTGAACCCAGCCCACACACAGAAGGCCGCACATAAAACGCAGATCAGCGCACATTAACATGCATGCTGTGGCGTGACTAATCTCTGAAGGTCTGTGTATGGTCATAGGCAGCGTGCTGTCAGCCTGAGCCTACTGCATTCCACGTGGACAGTCCGTGACAACTGTCACACCCTCTTCCTAGTGTCCCCACTCATGTCTGCACTCTTTACACGTAGGACACAAGCAATACAACACAGGTATCACACAGCAACATCTCCTATCACATACGTCATCTAGCCGTGCTGCTCACATAAACTCCGCCCCATAACCCAGCCTCACCAATTAAAGTAATCCCTTCCTACAGCCTTGCCTCCGACTTCTAATTAGTACTCTGCAATCACGTGGTAGTCAAGCGACTCCTCCAGGTCCTATCATGTGACCTTTGTTGTGACGGAGATTATTTTGAATGTGGCGCTTTTGGTTCCATGGCGTCTGTTCTGGTGAGATATTGTGTTAGTCGCCACTCAGTCCTGATATGGCGATATACGCCTGGTCTTCCTGGTAAAATCTGTACTGTACTGATGATTCGCATTACTTTGCATAGCCCAGACAATGTACCGGGTTACTGAGCTTGTACAGGACTGCTATTGAGGATGTACAGGAGGGGAGGGGAGGGGCGGTTCCTGTCTGTCAGTGCTAAACGCATGTGTTCAGTATTCAGAAGTTACTTTGAGCTTGCTTGGCAGTCCGTGTTAAAGGTTCGGAGGATAGAGCGGTCTCTGCAGTCTCATTACATGCAATTTGTGTTCAAATGGTATCTAGCATTTTTAAACAGCCCCGATGCTGGCGACGTACACTGTACGTCGTCAGTCACGAAGGGGTTAAAGTGACTCTCACTTAAGAGCCTGACTGTAAAGAAAAGGTTCAATATTGACCTAACTCACTGCCTGTGTGTAGCTCGCAAAGCTTTGCTTGCTAAAGGATCTTCATCTGACATTTCCAGGAGTGTTTAGATCCTGGACCCCCAACTGCACTCTGGTTCCTTCCGCAGCCATTATGTCACTACAGGACACTGTAAGAGCCTCTGTTGATGGGCTTTTGTTCACTTCAAGTGGGTTGTGTGTTCCCATGACACTCCAAAACCCACTTGAAGCAGACCAAAAGGACAATCACAGTTTAAATGTACTTGTCATTGAATTCGGAATGATCTCGGAAGCTTCTTCTACCATTGCCCAAGGCCCATCAACAAAATCCCTCATGATGAAGTGGAAGGAACCACCACAACCAGGCATTGTACACACCAGAAATGACAGATGCAGAAGACTCTTCTCTATTCACATCAGCGAAGCTTGGCGACAGAATAGGCAAGTATTAAATCTTTTCTTTACGGGGGACCTCCTGTGCAGCCAATCTGTGCCTCTGAATTACAGCTGACCTTGTTTCAAAATGCAAAGTCCGCTTAGAGGTTAATCCTCACCTAACCCCCCTCCCCCAAGTGTAAAAATGTCACTTTAAAAAAAAACACTTATTAGGAGAAAGGATACCAATATATACTTGCCTTATGTGCAGGCTTACGTCCGTGGTGCCTAATGCGGGTGACATCATGGGCCTTTCAGTGAGATCCTCAGAATGTTGAGGATTCTAGATCTCACAAGATGACACTCTTAAACTGGCTGTACACTGTTTTTTCTTATTCAGCCTCAAGGGATTCTTGATTCCACCATCCACGCTATGTACCACTGTCCAAATAACAGCAAAGGGACTGCAACTGATTGGTCGAGAATTTATGGACCAGCTCCTTCAACAAGTGGATTACAAACTTAATTTAAAAGAGAACTATGGGGTAAGGGTTTTTCCCCATAGTTCTCTTTAGGGTCACGGGAGGACACAAACTAGCGTCCTCCCGACACCCAAGGCTCAGTATACCGCGAGCTACAGCTTGCGTTACACTGAGACCGCCGCAGCCGGGACGGATCCCGACATTACTGTCGAGATCCACCCAGCTGGGTGATTGACAGCTGGCTCTGCCTATCTAGAGGAGGAGCCAGTTGTACCCTCCCCCGTTCCTTCATCCAATCAGTGCTGGAGGATCGGAGAGGGGAATCACTGCGGGGAGCAGTGACTGGAAGTGAGACGATTGAGAAGTGAGCATGTCGGCTGCATGTTTCTGCTCACTTCCCAATCAATAGAGCCGACCTGTTACAGCTTCTTTGTCACAGGTCAGCTCTATAAGGATGAGTGTAAATCACTCCCCTCATAGTTCTCTTTTAACTTTTGCTGGATGGGACTGGGCTGGTGCTGCTTGCTTGCCCACATCTGTAAGATTTGGACTTTGGGACGCGCAAATAAACAGTGTCCATGCAGAAGAATTGAAAGTACAATGACAGCATGAGAAGTAATGTGTTCATCTTAAAATGACAACTAATTTCCTTATAGTTACAAAACTTTTGTAGACACTGTCACTTTGCCTTGCACGGACAAGGTGTCACTGTCTTTCATTTAGCCAATGTTACGGTGACCACTGTCTAAAACAGGAATTCCCCTCACTTTTGTAAGATTTTCTCTCATTTCCCGTTGCGTCTCTGGGACAGGAAGTGAAAGGAAATCTCCATAGCAGGACACAAACTGCAAAGAACAACCTGGTAGGAGAATTTTTTAACCCCTCCCGACTCTATCCAAAACAAAAATAGATAAACCAGTGAATGTGACATTTACCAAACCTTTAATGCAGGTGAATCCATCACTGTCGTTTAACACATATGCGCCAGAAACACCTGCAGCAAATGTTTGGTAAATCTCACATTCGATGCTTCAGAAAGATAACCCTTAAGTGTGTATATATTAGCAACCTTTTTCTGTCTCAAATTGAATGTGTGTAGAGGCATATTCATACATTTTAAAATATTAGTATTATAGTGCACTGATCCTAATGTTGTTTTTTTTTGTTTTTTTTAACCAGGAAGATCCAGCACTGCAGCATCATTTCAGAGGACATAAAGATGCTGTCACGTCCATCAACTTTAGTCCAGACAACAAACAACTTGGTACTGTACAAGTACATTACTTTAGATGCAGATCAGATAATTCCCTGGCAGTAGTCTGCAAATGTAAATGATTAATATGGTAAAAGTGTGTTTTAAACCACAATTATATAGACAAAGTAAGGCATGATGGAAACCTAGGAGCTGATTGATAAATCTCCCACCCAGTGTATAGCTGGGCGAATGGCACTACTGACACTAGATGGCGTCGAGCAGTATAGGAAATGCTTATGTTCCTCGGCTCCATCTAGTGGCGGTTGTGCAGTGCAAACGAAAATTCACCCAACTAATTCAGGCCCATAGTGCCAGTCGTGTGAGCTGTGATAGTGGGGTTGATTTACTACAGGCAAATAGGCTGCTCACATTGTAAGGGAGTTTGCCTTTTGCTTGGTGAATGTGGTGGAATTTTACTTTGCAAATACCCAATCATGTGCAAGGAAAAGAAAAAAAACTACTTTTGCTTGCACATGATTGGGTGATGGAAGTCAGCAGAGCTTCCCCATAATTCACTTAATTAAAGCTGGCCATACACCTATAGATTATCTGCAGATTTGCAATGGTCAGATGCTAAACTGTGTGGATGGAGGAATCTCCCACTGGGCCAAGCTTTCGTATCTTGCTAGTCGGCCCCACTGGCTCTCAAAATACCTGAACAATCTGATTGGATGTAGGCATTGTTCAGGTGATTTGAGAGCCAGCGGGGCCGACTAACAAGACAGGTCTTTAAGGCTCAGTGACTAGATGAATTAAATAAACTATTTTGTTTAAATATGAGACAGAAGTTCTACAGACATCACAGACCTTAAAGGCCCATTCACCTAGATCACTGGTAGGTTCCCGGGGCTGAAAAAGCAGGTGCCTCGATGTGCCAAATCTGTATTGCCGCTGTATAGTCAAGTCGGAACACCTTCATGAGACCTTAGAGTAGAGGTGCTATTTTAACAAGCTCTGACCTTTGGCAGAATAGTTCTGCAGGTGGCACCCTGAGGTATGCTAATACTTGCTTCTCCTCCCATGTAGCTGTCCTGGAAGATAATTGGGGAAATACCCAGTTTGACTTACCGTAATGATATATCTAGGACAGCGTTCTTAATTCCTACCCTTCATCCAATTCTTCTCCGACTTGGTTGTTTGGTCAGATGTTTATTTCTCTATTCCCTCCTGGTGGTAGTCTACTTTAAACTTGCTGTAAAAGGTGGAATCATCTCTTGCGTAGCTGTCCTCGAAGAATCCTAGAAATACAAGTAAATCAAACTGAGAGTATTTTTTTTATAAAGCATTCAGCTTCCTATTGTGTTTTTTTTTGTTTGGGGAGATGTGGGGGTGGTAGTGATTGTTCTTCATCTCACGTGCTTTAAATAATTACACAAAAAACTTTTTGTGTCTCTAATATATTTTAACTTACTTGCAGCAACATCTGCAGCAGATACATTTGTTATGATCTGGAACTTCAAGCCTCAATCACGTGCCTACAGGTTTATTGGACACAAGGAAGCAGTGCTGAGTGTGCAGTTTTTTCGATAGATAGATCTATCTATATCAATGTTTTCATCAACTGTATTCATGCCTGTGTGGAAGTATTTATGATTATGAGGGAACCCATAAGGACCTTCTTCTTTCAGTATACTTCTGAATATATTTTTCTTAAAGCTGATGTTGCGGGGGTGGGGGGAAGGAATACAGCATCAAGCACATTAGCTCCCAACCTAGTAAGACCCCTGGTAGAGACACTGCCGGATAGTCGGGATCTTCCGTACCAAGGACTTATTTGTCATTATTCTTCACATTGTTGGCTTTAACGACAAGGCTGTTCTGAGGGGCAGGGGCATCTCTGAGTCTGTGATTGCTACAATGATAAAATCTGTGAAATCTGCTTCTTGCAAGGTCTATCATTGAACATGGAAGTTATACTTCTATTGGTATGAGTTTTGGGGCTTCCACCCCAAGAGTTTCTTCGTGGGACAAATCCTTTCCTTCCTGAAGGTGGGTCTGGACCAGTTTCTGAATCTTGGCACTATCAAGGGTTAGGTTTCTGCCTTTTTTTTTTTAATTCTGTTTCCCCGGATTCTTGGTCCACCATCTCTTGGTGGGTCAGGCAGACTATCATCCAAGCTTATGATCTCAAGGATTGGGCTTCATGCTTTACTGTCAAGTCATGCTCTACTAGATCTATGAGTGCTCTTTAGCCTTTTCGGCATCAATCAACTGTTTCCCATATTAGCAAAAGCTGCCACCTGGTCTACTGTTCTCATGTTCTCTATGTTCTACCCAGTAGTCCTTGAGGCCTCATCTGATGCTAGCTTTGGATGTAAGGTACTTCTAGTGGCTCTTTCAGCTGCAGGCAGTTCACATGTCTTCTGTTACTTTATTCGAGTCTCTTGGGCTCAATTAAATCATGACGCTCAAATTTTAACATATGCAAGGATTCCGTGCGTTTGTGGCTATTACTATAGCTGGAATACACCCTAGTGTGAACAATGAACATTGGAATGCATTTTTTAATTATGTTTACCACTCATGTGTGAATGGAGACTGATCGAGGCTTGGAAGGGTTACCTGGGGCTTGCCTACAGTTTTTGTTTGTCACTGTCCTGTCCTCTCCTCCTGAAGGTAGCAGTATAGCTCAAAGGTAAAAGACTGTGTCCCTTTTTTATTTTTTACTATTTTTAAAATCTTACCTGCAGAGTCCCTTTTTCACTTTCAACGTGCCTTCGAACTTACTTGCGAATTTAACTACTACAGAAGAGTAATTTCTCTAGTACAGCCCCCTTTTTCTTGCACATCATAGCCTTCTATTCTGGGAGAGTTGAATTACTGTCTGCTGGTCAAACATTTCGCCCCTCACATTCACTTCATAACCTTTTCACATCCAAAATGGCATCACTCAGCAGCAGTTTGAGTGCTTTTAGATGTCTACACAAGGTGGCCTTTTACAGGTATATAACATGCCTAAAATACATAAAATTTTCCTATATTCTTATTGAAAAATTATTGTTCAAATGAATGGTCTGGTAATTGGGTCTCTTTTTAAGTTAAAGACCACCAGGCAACTAGCATTTTCAAAAGTGAAGCCTCCATATTTCTGTCTCATGATAAAATCGTTTACTGTATAGGCCTGTCCCTTTTATTATAGATCTTGTCATAATGCCTCTGTTTACCCTGATCAACTCGCGGGCAGAACAAAAAAAATAGACCCGATTCCTCCATCAACACTAACTGCAGGTCGATCAAGGAATTTATTCTGACAGGCGCCGCCGGGCCGTGTCAGAATACCCGACCAAGCAAAACAAACGACAAACGCACTCAACAATTTGTTACCAGTTATACAGTAAGGTGCACACGAAATGGGCTTTAAACAGAAAATGGTAGAAAGGCATCATGGCACACTCACAAAACCAGCATGTAAAACAACTTGTCTCACCACTAAGGATAAAAACAGAGGTTTGGATACACGTCTTCTGCAGAGGATGTGAAAGCTGCACTGCCGCGCCATGGCACCCAAATGCACCCAATTTGAAATCTTCTGCCCCCATGTGCTCCAAGATGTAGACTCTCATAGTTTAGAGTTAGGACTATAGTTAAGCACTATAAGAGGTGCCTTGGCGCGGCAGTGCGGCTTTCACATCCTCTGCAGAAGACGTGTATCCAAACCTCTGTTATTATCCTTAGTGGTGAGACCAAGTTGTTTTACATGCTGGTTTGTGAGTGTGCCATGATGCCTTTCTACTGTTTTAGAATACCCGAACAGAGACAGCAGCTCATTGGCTGCAGGCTCTGATCAATTGAAGATTTTCCGACCGGGTCCTTCAATCAGCTGATCGAGGGATGCCGATCGAAAGGGTGCAGACAGCGGCACTCACCGCTGCAAATTTTGTCTGGTTCCTCAAAAACCGGCCGACATTCTCAGTTCAAGTCCATCTTGAGCATCGTGTGGTCTTCCTTACTGCAAAAAAGGGTGCTGGATGGTGCCAGGACCAGGAAGTGTATAGGGCACCACTAGCAGGACTGGGGTAGCAGATATTTACTACCTTACCTCTCACTTCTGATGTAAGACATTTTAATGGTCTGTCCGTTACACCAAACCCTCTTATTTCATGTTTTACATATTTGTCCCTGTGATGTATTTTTAGCTTTTAACAGTTATCTGTTCAGTGCCAGCTGAATTATTCAGATGTGTCTAGTTTTGTGCCAGTACAAAGACATACACTGTGCAGATGTTAAAGTGCACTTCAAACGGCATTCATACTGCTAACTAATGGCTTGTTTTACACAGTACCTATGGGAAGCTAGTTTCAGAACACAATGTGCTGGAAGGTGTTCTGGGAATCCGTCCAAAATGTACATTTAGGTTTATTTACAGTTTTATAGATGTCCCTTAGAGAGAATTGCCATTGCACGCTTAGCAGTAAATTGAAATTTAGAAACAACTGAAATCCAACATGACTTGCAGATGCTTGTGTATAAATGGAGTTGTAAAAAATAATTTGTACATTTGAACCTATTAAAGGAGAGTTTCATTTTATTGGTATATAATTATATTTGAATATCTGAATTGATTTGCTTTTCTTGTATTCAGCAAAGGTGAATCGACCATATTTAAGGCCCATACAGCCTGTGTGCGAAGCGTTGACTTCTCAAGTGATGGTCAAACCATAATTACTGCATCTGATGACAAGTCAATCAAAGCGTGGAATGTACATCACCAGCGTTTCCTTTTCTCGCTTAGCCAGCATACGAACTGGGTGAGATGTGCCAAGTACGTATTGTACAATGTTTACATGTTTTGTTTTGCGTTCATTAAACAGAAACGTTGATTTAAGTTAGTCTATAGAGGTTATCACTTAAACTCCAAAATGTAAAACAAAGTTACTAAGATGTATCTTGCCTTTACTGGCCCTTGCGCATTTCATACTGCAGTAGTCTCACAAAGAGGTAGGTGGCACCAGTAACAGCACTACTTTTTCAAATATGTTGTAGTTCAGGGCTCAAAATTTCAAGTCCTGAGCTACTAGTCAGGCCTTAAGAGTCACTAGCCACCAGTTGCCCCACTTAACCCTTAAGGCCGTGACACACTGCACGCGAAGCCGTGCAGAGCGAAGCAAAGCTATCCGGCACGGAGGTTTGCGTGCAGTGTGTGAGCTGAGTGCAGTCAGATGATTGACTGCACCTTCAGCCAATCGGCTCGTGCTTAACAACCGGCCAGACGTCGCATCCTGTTGCGCTAGTTTATTCACGCGAGCTGATTGGCTGAAGTTGAAATTGTTCATCTTGGCATGCTCAGCTCCGCGAGCTCTCGCCAGCTGAGGTGCCCAGGAGAAAATGACATGACACACTGCTCGCAAAGGCAGCTCGCCACCACTCTGCGCTGCTTTGCGTGCAGTGTGTCACGACCTTAACCCTGCCCCGGCCTTAACTCCGCCCCTAAACACACCCTCTTAAATAATCTTATGATCATTCTTATCTTATGATCGTTACCGCTTGTAAACGGCAGATTAGGGATTCCTGCTGCAGGAAAACGCAAGTTCCTGACACAGGAATCTCTAATGACACCGGAAATATACTGTAGGTGTGAATGGGGCCTAATATACACATACACTAAAGGTGTCCATACACCTGCCGATTATCGTACGATAGTTGTGGGTGATCCCGCGATCATACGATAATCGGTAGGTGTATGGGCAGCGTGCGACCGCTTCTACTGTAAGGTCGTACGACTTTCGTCTTCCAAGCACGCTGCAAAAAATGCAGAAAATCGTACGATTTTTGGCGGGTTGGTGGCGTGGTCGGAAGACGAATGGCGCACGGGCCGGTGTGCGCAAGCTGCCCGCTCAGCACTGCAATCATAGGAAGCAGGGCGGGCTTGCGATGATCGCACGTACGATCTGCCTGTTGTTCCTTTCTTTCGGCCGGAGCTCAGAACTGTCGGAGCTCCGGCCGAAGGAAGCCGGAGCTGGTCTGCATCCGACACAGATGCAGACCGTGGAGCTGCTCCCGCAAGTCAAGTACGCGGTCTGCGACCATTTTCCTGACATGTCAGCTAGCTGTGGGCCATATAGTACCGGCTCACGGGCCGGAGTTGGCCTGCGGACCGGTACTTGGAGACCCAAATTTCCACTCGCCCTCATCTTATTTTTACTCGCCAAATGCGAGCAGGCGAGTGGAAATTTTGAGCCCTGTTGTAGTTTTTGTTATGTCTCCACCCAATTGATGTAAGCTATTTTTTAGTTTCTATATGATATTGACATCTGTATGGTACTATGAGAATGTTTCGGTTTTACACTGAAAAGCTCACTTTGCTCTAAGCTTTAATAACAATTAACTTGTATCAGGAGAGTCCGCAGACTCTGCTAAACAATGACTGGGATTAATGGCTGGCTGGCACCGCTAAATATGTGCCTTCCTTCAGTGCTGCTAGCCCCCAAGCCCTGTGTGTTCTCCACCAGCTGCCACTATCC